TTAATGCACAACTGTGAAGCAGTGGCTGGGTTCTTGAAGGCGGCACACAGCGGAGTGTATGCAACAAACAAGGTATCTGCAGTCTGAGCTCAGAAACCCACACACAGAGGAAGCAGTGAGAGCAACAAGGGGGAGACACTGTGGGACAGAAGGCAGAGTGTGCAGTAAGATGAAGTCAAGTGCCCAGGAGAGGAAGGGCACAGCCAGAAAGAGGGGGGGGGAATGAGAAAGGGAGCTTGTAAGGAGTTAAAAGACAGTGGGAAAGTCCTGCCAGAAATAAAAGCGACTGGACACTGAGTCCCTGCAGAGGGCGCCTGGAGGTTCTTTGTGGCACCCACACCAAAAATGACAGGACAGAAGACAAGGGACCAGGCCACGTCCTGGATGTGGGAGGAGGCTGGTGCTGCTTGGTGCCCCCTGGGGGCTGGCACGGCCTGAGGGCTCCATGTACTACTTCCTTTGTCTTCATGGCCCCTCCAGATGTGGCATCGCAGGTGCAGAGATAGTCCCTGTGCCCAGACGGGACAGCAGGGCTGGGACCCAGGTTGCAGCTGCCTCCAGAGGCCACCTCTGAGCCTCTAGACTAAGCTGCCTGGGTCTGGCCAGAGTGAGGTAGACTCTTGTATAACTGGCTTGCAAATACTGGCAGTGTTTCATCTTACTGTCTAGCACACTTTTTTATTAGTTTGTCCACAGTGTGTGATTAAATCTAGTACACATAAATCCCTTTTTATTACAGGTTTAGGCTGTACTAAAAATACCCATTCCAGCGAAAGCTGCTGGCCATTCTAACACTGGACTAGGGCCCACCAGAGGACAGACATCCCTCCTAGGGCCTTCCCTGTCAGAAAAACGAGGGCAGCATGCACCTGGACTTTAGGACATATGTAGTGAGCCTGAGAGGGTCTCAAAGGCCCATGTTTTGCCTCTTCAGCTCCTTCAGTTTCTCTTGCTTTAATGATTTGAGGGATATGAGGATCTGAGAGAGAAGAGGTGGCTCCCTGGCCCCAGCTGTTGGTTGTTTAAAAATATCCCATAACCTCAAAGCCCGCCTGGATAAATAAACAACCCGAAATGCTGTGTTCCACATGTGCAGAAGCAATGCGATGGCAAGACTCAGAGAGAACCAGAGAGACAGACAAGGATTCAGAGGAACAGACAGATGGAAACAGGCAACAGGGACAACGTCAGAGAGAGACAGAAAATATATTCACATTGATCACAGCAGATCATCTAAATCCTTCCAGATACAGAGAAACAAGGTGATTCCTACTGCTTTGTGAAGACGCTTCTTGTTTTAATCAATTACTTGGGAGCACTGACAGCGGCATTCCCGTCACTGATGAGAACATCAGTGGCCAGCCATGCGCTTACTGGCCCCTCAGTGTGCCTCAGGTCTGCTGGGTGCTGTGGTAGGCACTATCTCAGTTAACCTTCAAAAGAAACCTATGGGGTAGCACTAGGATCACATCCATTTTACAGATATGGTAACAGCTGGGAACATTCAGATAACTTGCCAGGTTCCAGTATTACTCAATGAGTGGACCAGGATTCAGCCCTGGCCTCTGTGTTCTCCGAGCCAGGTCCCCAACCACTGGTGTCTGCCAATCAACTCTATATTTGAGCAGAGAAAGCTCCTTCCTCAGTCTTCAACTGAAAAGGCCCCTATGACTTTCAAACTTATTCAGCAAAGAAAATTGCTCTTCTGAATGGCCTGGGAAGCTGCATTTTTCTTCTCTCCTCTCCCATGCTAAATGACATTTATTTATTGTGCTTGGGAAGGACCAGCTCAAACCCACTCATTACAAGGTAAGGGAAGCTACAAGTTCCCACCTCAGCTTTCAGCATACCACTGTGCTATTTCCCTTGCTGCAAAAAGAATTCTTTCAGTAAAAACTTTCCATCTAAAAATAAGATCATGGCTAATCTGCAATTACACTTCTCAGTGGGAGACATTTGCCTTCCACTCTATTTTCCTGAATGCAGAAGGTCCAATCCGCTGTCCTGCTCATCAGTCAACCAAAGGCCCAAGCGTCCCGTAATTAACCGGAAAACTGAAGCTATGCAGGTTTCAATCACTGGGTGGTGTTTTGAGGAGCCCTGGGGGCAGCTTTACTTTAGATCACTCATATGCTACTCCTTCACCTGTCCCCCACAGAGCTGGCCCTGAGCACCACTCAGAGGCTGCAGCTCGCGATGTGCTCCTAGGCTCCAGTTTTCCTCCTCTAGATCCCGCTCCAAACTTCCCCACTTCCTCTCCTTTCCCTTTCTCCTTCCTGTTCTGGGTCTCCCATATATAGACCACCACCATGTTCGGTTACAGATGCTGGGTGGCCACCGTGACTTTGATTTATCAGAAAGATGGAGGCCTGGTTCCTGGCCTATTATAGGCTGGTGGCTCCTAGGTTCATGGCTGGTAGAGTGCACAGAAGGGGACCCTACTGGAAACACTCACATGCAGAAGTACACTGTCACCAGGCAAAGGCATAGTTGTGATAAGGGGCTTTTACATTTCATTCATCAGGGTTCTTTAAGGGACATAAACACCTGTGGGCAATGGGAGGGAACAAATGTGATTATATGAACTTTCAGAACATGTCTGATAATAATCCAAAAGGAATTTTAAAACAGTAAGTCACAGGAGATTGAGAAGAAAGTTTTGACTGTGATTAAAAATCTAGCCTAGGCTGGGAGTGGCGGCTCACATCTGTATTCCCAGGATTTCGGGAGGCCGAGGCAGGTGGATCACTTGAGGCCAGGAGTTCAAGACCAGCCTGGCCAACATGGCGAAACCTTGTCTCTAAGAAAAATACAAAAAAATTAGCCAGGTGTGGTGGCATGTGCCTGTAGTCCAGCTACTCGAGAGGCTGAGGCAGGAGAATTGTTTGAACCTGGGAGGTGGAGGTTGCAATGAGCCGAGATCACGCCACTGTACTCCAGCCTGGATGACAGAGCAAGACTCCATCTCAAAAAAAAAAAAAAAAAAAAAAAAATCTAGCCTAGAGACAAGAAACAGAGGATAAATGAGTGGAAACACTGGGGGTGTTTAGAAATGAGTAAAAGGTTTTATAAATGACAAAGAGAAGGCAGTGCCCAGTAAGACCTTTAGTTTTGTAGACAACAACACCCTACCTACCAAAATACAGACTAGAATAAGGCATTAGACCTCCAGGAGAAGGCATGCAGAATGACAGAAGAGTTTATGTGCACAGGTGTAAGACACACACTGTCCCATCATGTCACAGGCCTGGAGGTCAAAATTACAACCCAAGAAAGGGTGCTGAGAACTCCTACAGGTAGACGGTTCCCCCAAAGACATTTAAGATGCTGTGCTCCTTCAGCTTAATTTGTCCCCAAACGGACACTGGGGCTGGTATCACCAGGAAGGGTACTGGTGCTCAAACAAAGGTTGTCGTGTGTCCTTGTAGAATCCCTGGTGTGCCCCCACATGGAGAACTAGGTGTAGTTTTGGTCATTGCATCTATAGAAGGTCAAGACATTGTTCAGAGAAAGCCAATCAAAACTATCAAGGGAGGAGGAGTAACAAGAGCACGAGCAGCTAACAGTTACAGAGTGTTTGCTACATGCCAGGCACTTTCCACCTGTTCATTCATTTATTCTCTCCACCATCCCATGCGGCAGGCAGTTATCAACCCCACTACCGAGAAGAGGAAACTGAGGCACACAGCGTTTCAGTGCCTTGCCTGTCACGCAGCTGGTATTTGAACCCAGGCTGTGCAGTGCCAGATCCCATGCTCTTAACTATCAGCTACTTCCTACATGGGAGAAACAGAACACATTCCACACTGTTCTGTTGGGGAGGCAAGGCTGAAATTAGTTTATCTACGTTAAGAAAATCAAGATGAGGCCTGATAGCGAAAACATGAGCTTTGTGCCGAACTGTAGATTATTAAAGTTAGGGTAAAGTTAATTTAAGACAAATAAACGGAAGACTGCTTTGCACAGCAGGACACACATTATAAAATCTTACTTTTCTCAAGAAGAATTGAGACTACAAATTCTAAGACTCCCAAAGAGTGTTGGCAATCAATGCTGTGTTACTAAGGGAAGTTAGGTTTGTTCTGAGGGGCACTCCTATCCCCTTTCAGTTATAAGGTAACAGAGTTTCCATCGCTTATTCTCCCAGGAATACTCCTGGTCACTTCTGCTAGAGGCAGGCTACGAGTCTTCCCCGCTGTGGCAAAGCTTTTGTCCTCTGCTTCCTTCCCTTCCTGTCACTTGGGTGTTCTGCCATCTCCTTGCCAACCTCATCTCTAGGCAGCTCCAGCCAGAGAGAGAAGAGGGTCTGTGGTGTGGGGAGCAGCTCTCAGTCTGCAGTGACAAGAGGCGCTTGCCAAATAATCCCAGGGGCTGGGCCCGGGTCACTTGTAGAAGGCCAGTGCTGGGCCGGTGGTAGGGCCCAGCCTTACAGCTGCAGATCTCTGAGCTCTCAGTCCCCTCTGCCTATTTCCCTAGCCTGTCCTGGCGGAAGTTGGGAGGCAGAGAGGGGAGGCCTTGGTGCTCTCCGGGAAGAATACAGATCCTAACTCCAGCCCCTGGGGGAGAAGGCTCCCGGACCCTGCCTCTTTTCCTGTCCCCAGAAGGACTGGGGATTGAACGCCCCCAGCCCTTCTGAGGAGTCGGGACACACGACTGCACAAGGGTGCCTCCCGTAGGTGTGTGGCCAGCCCTGCGGCAATCAGGGGCCTGGGGGCGACATGACTTTATTTCAAGTGCCTGCTGACCTGGCAGCCTTGGGAGACAGAGGACCCCGTTCTGGTGCCTGTGCTGGGGGAGGCGTAGCCAAGGGCGGTGCAGGGTGTAAAGAGATTAAAAAAGAGATTTGGTGACTCTAGGCCCGGTGAACTCAATCAGTGGCAAGATGCAAATGCGCCGAAATATTAACCATTACTGAGTGTTCCATGGCGCGGGGCTGGAGAGGCGCAGAGCCCACCCGGATGATCTGGGCTCCTGCCAGACTCCGCCCAGGCACTACTCACCTACGCAGTTATCACAAAGGCTGCAATGGGAGGCGCGAGGGGGCCGGAAAATCTTGCAGGTGAAACAGTATTTAAGTTTCACGGTCTGGCCATTGATGATGACTTCTTTGGTTCTGGGAGGCGGGCGGTACCCCCCTGAACTGGTGCCGTTTGCGATATCTGTGGAGAAAAGAAGAGAAAGAGCGCACACCCTTCAGAGCCTCCCTCGGCCTCGGCAGGACCCGTCTGCCTGGAGTGTGAGCTCGAGGGCAGCAGACACAGTGGCTGGCACGGCCCCGGTGCTCACACTTTACTCAGGCTGGGGCTCTGGGACTCGTCCTCCACAGGGACCCAAGCCTCTTTCATTGCACACGTGCAGGGGCCACATGACTGAGCTCTGGCCAATGGAGCAGAGCACACATGGCCCCGCCCAGTCAGGCCCTTCCCATGGAGCCCCACCCCTTTTTCTCTTCCCCCTCCCCTCCCTGCGGGCGGCAGGAGAGGCCCCGGGCCACCTTGGGAGCCACAGCTGAGGAGTAGCCTGACTGCACAGAGGAGGGCCACCCTGACCTCTTCCCACCTGCACAGGTCTATGAGCACCAAACGCCTGCCTTAAACCTGGGAAGGCTAGGGTGTTACTTGTTAGTGCTGCTAGCCTTGCCCTCATTAACACACCACCCTAATTCCCTCTCCTGGAATGCCGGACTCCAAATCCAGCTCCAGGGTCCCTTCACTTTGCCCACTGGCTTCCTCAAAAATGCCAAGTATAGAATGGGAGGGGGAGAATGCAGATTGTAAAAAATACATTTTTAAAAAATCATTAAATATGTATTTTGAAAATCATTTCTACATTTTATCATCTCAATAGCACCTTTAATTTTTAGAACCAGTTCTAAAAATGTCAATGAAAATACAAACATGTAGAATTTTTAAATTTCGATTTTATCTTATAGTCTCTGATTTCACATTAAGATCACATGGGAGCTTTTAAAACTCCCCTAAGGTGTGAACCCTGTTCCAGATTCATTAAATCAGAATGACCCAGGTTATTCTCATGTGGGCAAGGGTTGAGAACCCCTTTCTCTGGGAAGACAAAACTTCCAGTTTTATTTCGCCTCACAGTCCTATTAGCCTTGTCCTATTAGTCCTATTTCCTCACAGTCCTATTAGCCTTGTCAAGAAAGTTAGGGTAGCTGGCTGTGCAGTCAAGAACAGGAGCACAGGGTGGATGGAGCAGAGCAAGAACTTCCATGAGGGCTTCAGCTGAGACTCTGTGGCTGACACATGCAAGCCAGACCTAAGGGACTGGATCCGTCCTGGGGAGCGTCAGGGCTGGTAACGTTAAAGATAACTGTTCATTTTAACTCTCACCCTCTTAAAGCACATACTATCAGAGATGGTTGCAAGATACTTTTGGTTAATTTCCAAAGTGGTAGGAATCAGTCCCATCACCCACTCAGGCCCCTCACACCACACCAACTCATCCTGGGCAATAATCATTGAACAGAACTGCTGAGATCCTGGTCCTGCCCGCAGAGATTCTTTCATTGGTGTGGGGCATTGTATTAGTCTGTTCTCATGCTGCTATTAAAGACATACCTGAGACTGGATAATTTATAAAGGAAAGAGGTTTAGTTGACTCACAGTTCCGTTGAGCTGGGGAAGTATCAGGAAATGTATAATCATGACAGAAAGGGGAGCAAACAGGTCCTTCACATGGCAGCAGGGAGGAGAGGTGCCAAGCAAAGGGGGAAAAGCCTCTTATAAAAGAATCAGATCTCGTGAGATCACTATCACAAGAACAGCATGGGGGTAACTGCCTCCGTGATTCAATTACCTCCCACTGGGTCCCTCCCATGACATGTAGAGATTATGGAAACCACAACTCAGGATGAGATTTGGGTGGGGACACAGCCAAACCATTTAAGATCTTCCT